TATAACCGTGTTGCCTTTTAAGTGCTCCGAGACGCTACCGTGCTGAAACACGCTCGATCTTATTGGTTTGTTTTTCTTTTATGACATTTTCTAAGCCAGACTGTACGCCTTGTATTCATTTTGATTAGTTTGATGCAGATTCTCTCTAACAAGAACACACACACACACACACAAGCAATAGCGCTTGAATAAGCAGAGCACTCTTTCTTCATCCACCCCTGAGACCAGAGGGAAGGAATGTAAGAAAAGTAAAACCTAAAGAAAATTGTGCAATTTTATCGTGTCAAATTGTTTCCAAGAGCTTCAGGAACAATTACTGTCAAGTGTTGTGATTGTTTTTGACGAGTGTTTTGCAAGCTCCTACGTGCAGATGTAACTTGATTTAAAAATTGACTGCCGCGCCTTTGGTGAGTAATTCACATTCCCTCATCGCTTGTCCTCCTGTGCATACCGTACCATACCATGGGTACGTTTCGCAAGATAAACATAAGAGGAGGGAGGACCCGAATAACTACAACACACTGAACGCAATCTCTCTGACAAACGCATGACTGAATTTCTAACTCACGTGGCAAAAACACCCTCATGGCGCACTGTTATATGATCCTACTGGCACCCTCACACACTGATACGCCCACTTCCGATGTGTCCAGAGAAATCTAAATATTGTCACTTACGTTCTCACTTACGCACACAGTGTACTTGGGATTGGTACATAACGTAATATTAATAAGTTGCACGTCTTGATAGCGTACTGATTGTGAGCACCTCCATATGACTAACTCTACAGTTAACTGATGAGTAGAGTGGTCCTGGCTGGACAAGCAACCAGAAAGCTTGCCAGACAGTGATATCAATCGCAAGCTATGCTGTTTTAGCTGCCTGGACTCCACACTCTGGGTCCCCAAGCCTTGGCTCTTGCCAACCCCTACCTAATACCTTCTGGAATACACAGTCTCTCTCTCTTTCTCTCTCTCCTTCTCTCTCTTTTTCTCTCACACACATTCAATCACTCCCCCCAACCTCTCTCTCTCTCTCTCTTTCTGGTTTGACAGAGCCCAATTTAGCCAAAATATGACGTCTGGAGGATGTAAACTCAACTGACTTAGCGATATAGCCCAGCATCCTGTTTGCCTTGTGTATTGCTGCCTCACGCTGTTTTGGTATAGTGAGCAATAAGCCAACAGGCACCCTGAGATCTCTTTCAGCTTCCCCCTCTCTTTCAGCTTCCCCCTCTCTTCCGTCTGTAGAATGCTTGTGTTTTCCTATCCTTGCTTGATCATTTTATTATTGCCGTAGACTGGTGTGTTCCACAGAGAACTGCTATTGCCAGTGAGTACCTCTAGACAGCCTTGACATCAGCAGTTAGCCAATCTATGGGGCCGGAAAGCAGTGAGCACTCCTGTAGAGCCAGAACAGTGCTCGCCTAGTAATAGTCAGCACCAATAGTCGAACTTGAAGGGCGCTAAAATGAGGTTCCCCTGTATGCTGTCAGGCTGCCTGAGTAACAGGATCCATTAATGAATTCATTAAATAAAAAGCTATTATAAATCGTTCCTCTCGTGAAATTAGCCCCGACCTACGGGGTGCGAGATACCTGTTTCAACCCGTGGAGGGTTAGTGGCCGTGGTGCAAAACCGCATTCTATTTGAACTTTCTCACCAGGGCGAGCGCTGATTAATTCTGGCCGAACATCAAGGAAACAAAGGCGGTATTTCTTCACCCATTAAATAGTGTTCAGCATTTGCCACAACAGGCAGCGCTCATTAGGAAACCAAAGTGAAGGGATCACCGTCAGCCGCACTCGGGGTGGGTTTCCACAAACATACGCCCTACAGCAATCCCGCACCCCCCTCCCCCACCACCTCCCCTACCCTTCCTCCAACTGTCCATGGCTCTCGCTGCAGGATCACTGCTCATCACACTGCAGAGTGGCTTCGACAAGAGCAGACGGTTCCCGTGGAATTCTCTCTCGTTTACTGCGCGGTTGGATTTCGCGAGAAAGAAGGATAAGATAATGCAGCGATTCCACAAGTCACAAGTCGCGCAGGCTCCGGTCCTGGCTTATTTTTTGGACCCCCTTTTTCCCCCCGAGCTGCGGGGCAGGAACTGCACAGGCCAGCGGTGGAGGAATCACATCGCCGTCTGGAACACAGGCGGGTGAGGCGCTGGGCGAGCTAACCTCGAGGTCGGAATAAATACGAACGGTCACATTTATACTGCAGCCACCAGAGGTGCTGTGGTCAGGACTTCTCCACTGCCTGTGAAATGCGGCCATGAACGTCGAGGCTGCAGTCAGGAGTAGTACAAGCAGCAGGTTGCTGGTCTGGGGCCGGGCGGGGTGGGGGGTGGCAGGAAACAATCCTAAACTCCCAACTGCTGAGCAGCGCAGTGGCTCAATTCTGTTTCAAGCCGCTGTGCCTTCTTATTAGCTGCTGCAACTGCTGTGCATTTGAACAGAGTAACTGATCATTTGACTCCCACCCTATCAGGCGTACAGAATGCAACGCCGCTACTATATCACGCTGGACTATCGACCTGGTTCATTGATAACGCAAAAAGGGGGCGGGGGGGGGGTCTGGCTCCCCATTCGCTGTTCCTGGATGAACCGCTTCTGACGATGGGTCGTGGACCCGAAACGTTAATTCACTTTCCTTTCTCCGTAGATGCTGCCTGACCTGCTGTGTTTTCCCAGCGCTCCCTCTGTTTTGGTTTCAGATTCCAGCTTCTGCAGTATTTTGTGTTTTGTCGCCGATTATTGCGATGGCTTTATCCATTTCCTCCTTTTTGTAAAAAAAAACAGGAGTTCCGCCAACAACCACGAGCCCTGTAGTGTAGTGGTTAGAGCTCTCGCCTCACAAACGAGAGGACCTGGGTTCCAGTCCCAGGCCGGACAAAACCTTAGCCAAGTTTCCTTACTCCACACGCCTCTGTTTACCTAACAGTAAGTAGGAACCCAGTTGTTTGTCAATTGGTGGATGGCTTTCCGGGGGTAAATATCCCTCCTAAACTATCGTAGACTTGTTTGGTGCTGGAAAGAAAGTGTGAGTGTCACACCGCCTTCCTGCTTTCCAGGAAACTCTTGTCAAATCGACGTGTGGAGTATTATCATCACTCGTTCTGGCTCTCCTCATTCTCTTCCAGAAGGTCAACTCAATTCACAGAACTGAATTGATCCTCTGCCTCCGGTGACAGGACTTCTGATGGGAGATCGAGCTTGTGTCGCAATCATTCCCTCCCCATTCACAGATTTACTCACCAACCTTTACCCACAAAAAATCAAGTTCCCACAGTAACTCGACAGTAACTGGGCCCGGGTTTGATGCATTACAGGCCCTGTAAAAATGCACGTTTTGAATTATTCACAGGCAGGATGGAAAAAAAAACACAAGCTAGCAGGAATTCCGAGGGGAACGAGCATTTTTTCTTCATTTTTGCAAGTACGATTCATAGAAATGATAGCACAGGATTGCAAAACAGGACTAAGCGATCTGTCAGGCCCAAAGTAAAAAAAAAAATGCCCTCTTCAATTTACTTATAAAAAAACACCCACACCCTCCCACCCCCAGGCCCCTTTCCCTGTGCCGATTGTGCCTCTCATAGTGCCCTTCAATATAGCACAGTGCCTCTCTTATAAAGATAGGTAATAGCATCTTATGGCATCGAAGCACAGCAATCCTGTAACAACGTCACTGGTGACCGCACAGACCAAGATGCAGCTGCTTTGCTTCCTCATTTAATCACAGGTGGGAATCTGGGGATTCCAACCAACGACCACATTGTAACGGGGTTCCCCTGTGTTTCCCACAGTGTAAAATAATCCCACCACTGAACTTCGGTCTGTGTCCTCTTGCACTCTCAACCAGAAAGCTGTGGGTTCAAGCCCCACGTCGGGACTTTGAGTTTTTACATTCACGGCTGACACTTCAATGCAGCGTTGGGGGGAGTGTCGCATTGGTGGGCACGACGTCTTTCAGATAAGACATTAAACTGAAGTCCTATCTGCCTGATCAGGTGAACGTTAAATATCCCACGGCTCTATTGGAAAAGAGAAGGGAGTTTCTCCCAGTGTCCTCACCGACAATCCCCCAAATAAAATTGATCGATGGCCGTTGGTGGGACATTGCTGTGCGCACAAATTGTCTGCCCTCTTCGCCTACATTAACAACGCAATACAAAATGACATTTGTATAGTTACTGTGAATTGCATTTAGAGACACTGTAGTTCAGAGTAAAACGCTGTGAAGCAATTTGAGAAGTGTTGACAGCACAATAAAGCGCTATAACAAATGGAAGGTTTATTATTACTGTTATTAATTTCGAATTTTATATGAATGCATCATTGTATTATATTTCATTTTTTTATCATATGTTTTTTCCCCATCACGTTAAAAATACGAGGATTCGTTTCATTCGCAGCTTCTAGGATCTCAGTTAATTCGATAAGAAAGCTCCTGAGCCTTTCGACTTTATCGTGAACACTTCCAGCTCCTGTAGCCTCTCCAACATAGCTCAGATGCCTCGTTCGAGATGTCGCTCTAGTCGTTCTTCCATTAGCACTCCAGTATGATGACCAGAACTGTATGCAATATTCCACTGGGGTTGGAGCAAGGCTCTGTGCAACATCAGTGCCGACCGCTGTGACATCTGCTCTAACCCTTCAGCTATGCACTTCAGATCCTGTCCACTCTCCCCACTTGTTGCGTGTGCACTGCTACGCCGATGGATTCAGACATCCATTAATTCCTCCCAAATCCCTCTCGCGTGCCATTTCCTGAGTTCAAGCGCTTGATTTTTCTCTCCCTTTCCAGCATGTGAGAGCGAACAGAAATAACAAAACCCAAAACGCTGGTAAAGCATTTCACAGCTGTCTTCCGCTGCACCTTTCTCCGATCAATCCAACAACGACGACAACTTGCACTTGCATCACACATAATATATACTTATACAATAGCCTCCTCCACGCAGGATAGCGTCTCAGAGCGCCTCAATCCACCTACCGTACTGGAACTGCATGAAGCGCAGATGCAGTTTGGAGGGGATTACCGCATCCGGCAGTTCTCGAAGGAAGAGCTTGAGAAGACTGGCAACTGAGCAGATGTCTCCCTCCTCCGCGAGATCCAGCTTCTCTCCCTTGTCGTACTTCAGACGCAGCCGCTCCACCGCCTTCACGTTTCCATTTACCCGGAAAATTCCTTCCTGCTGCAGGCCTGCAGGGAAGAAAAAGCAACGACAGTAACAAAGTTAAAGGGGTTTGGGACGTCCTCCCGACGTGAAAGGCGCTCTATAAATGGAATTTTGTTGTCGTTGCTGTTATGTCTTATAGTTATTATGCACTACAAATAAATCACGCGAAACCCCTTCCTGCACCTGGACACGTTTCTTTCTAGCGTAGAATTACAAGACGGAAACGGGCCATTCGACCCAACCGGCCTGTGCCCATGTTTATACTCCATGTGAACCTTCACCCCTCTCCCGCGCCTCTCTGCTGTGCCTTTCTCTCACACGAGTTTTCTCTTTCACACATTCGCCTACAAAACACCCAGTCACTGCCCTCCTTTGAAGAGCTTTGAGACCGTCCGCTGGACATGAAAGGTACTATGTCAAATGCGAGGAATATTATTATGAAATCTTTTTAGGAATCTTCCCCGATGCATTGGGACATCCCAGTTTCAACATAGTTTGTTCTTTTGCACAACTGCACTATTAACTGGGTTGGCCACAAAAGTCCATCCTCACCAAGATGAAGAAGAGCCGCTTAAGTGTTTTCTTTGAACGCTTTGGGCACCATAATTTTTCTGGTCTGTCTTGATATGGCTACAGAAAGATCGTGCAGGGGAGATCACTTACCCTCTCAATCTCAAACGTACTCTGGGTTGCTGCTTATTTAAAGCAGTCGTCGTTAGCTTTTAACACAATCCTTTGTATTATGCTCTATTACGCACTGAACTTTCGAGCTGGTCCTTTGGATAAACCTCCGGTGAGTACATCCAAAGAAAAGGCAGAACCGGCTGAGCTCTGATTTACCTCAAAATCCTCTCAGCCCAAAGGCAGGGTCACTGTAACTCGCATTACCCAGTTGGTCCGATGAGGAATTGGGCTCCAAGCACTTTGTTGGGTTTCAGGGAGTGCCTGTGGAACGGCGCCAATCTACTAGCAGCTATGCCTCGCTGCCCCTTAGGACACCTCAGGGGGGTTTCAGTCAGGATGCATAATGTCTTGGGGGGTCCTTGATCCCAGAATGTTTGGAAACCCCTGCACTAGGGACGGTGACCGATAACATTCAATTTGACTTGGGAAACACAAGCAAGCAACCAATCTCGTGTGCAACTTTAGGTGGGCAAACCTCAGGGTGTATGGGCTAAGGGACATAGACTGGGAGGCATTACTCAATGACAAATCGCTTGAGGATTAACGGATATCCCTAAAGAACATTGCGCAGTGTACGCAGGTCAAGTATATACCCAAGTGCGGCAGTTTTATAAAGCTTGTACACAGAGAAAGGAGGAATTGACCATTGGGTGAGCTGAACACAAGACCCTACAGAAAGAAGTCAAACAAACATTAGGGAACCAAGAGAGAACTGGAAAGGAACCCAGCAGCAAATGTAAAAACGTCGCCTCAAAAAATTCTTTCAATACTGCAACAATACGAGAGTAATCAGGGAAAGCGTTGAAACCCTAAGGGATTCAAAGGGGATTGAAAAAGAGAATGAACAAGAGATAGTAAACATTAAATGACTAATATCCTACTTTCCAACATCCCAGCAAATATTGTTTCAGCTCCAGGACTTTAACCTAAGTGACGCTGAGATTCAGTTTACTACACATAATTATTGACCTGGATTTACAGACCCAGTGGAAAAATTTGCAGATGACATCAAGTTTGGTGACTGGAACAGGTTGCCAGGAAAGGTGGTAGAGGTCAGGACACTGGACTCATTTAAAAAGCAGCTTGATACGGTGATAGAAGGCGGATAGGGTGGGTGTTCTGAACAGATGAGATTGGATGGACCAAAGGACCTTCTTCACCCAAACCAATCTTGTGATTGCACTGCATTACTTTCATTAAGTAATGTAATGGGGTCCTGGAGCTCAGTGGTTAGGACACTCGCCTCACAAGCGAGAGATCTGGGTTCGATTCCCAGGCAAGGGGCGAAACATTGGACAGTTTCCTTACTCCACGCGCCTCTGTTTACCAGCAGTAAGTAGGAACCCGGTTGCTCGTCGAATTGGCGGATCGCTTTACCGGGGTAATAATTCCTCGAAAGAAAAATTGGTCACTCAATCCACGACTGCTTGTGGGGACACTGCTGTGCGCAATTGGCTTCCGCGTTTCGCCCACAAAATATACAGTGAATTCACTTCGTAGTATCATTTGCGAAGTGCTTTGAATCGTCTCGAAGATGTGGTAAGGCGCTAATACCAACTGCAAGGACTATTGTTGTTATTCTTGCGCTACGTCTCTACATACAATGTTGAATTAAAAAATGCAAAATCCACAGGCAGACCAAAGTCCCTGAATTACCTTGGAACATTTCGGCTGTAAGATAACTCAAGTTGTCAGTTGAAGTCATCGCTCAACTGAACGCTGATGTTCTCGGGTAGGTGACACTTACGTAGTTCAGGAAGTTCAAGTTTGACCCATTTCAAAAAAGTTTTGGTGTACATGCAGCTTACGTCCATTGGAGGGCAGTGCCTTGCTTATTTAAAATGCAACGTTTCTCAAATGTTTTCTCTTTTTTTACATATATATATATATACACGCGCACAATTAAAAAAAAACCTTCACCTTTAACGTAGCCCCTGCAATGTTGAAGTGTGCTTCACCGGAAATCGCTGCAAGAGTGAAGTCACTGAGTAACTGTTGGCAAGAGCAGCAGCCGTCTTTGCGCAGAGCAGTGTCAGGAAGCGAATGATCGATTTTATCCGGAGCAAATAGTGCGTGGCTTCTCTTTGCAAACTGTGCCATGGAAGAAAAATCCTTGCATTGGGGATCTTTACTGTCCACCTGGGTAGGTGCGGGCGGTAGCCTGACTTCATCGCAAAGGCGGCACCTCCAACAGTACAACATTCCTCCAGCCTGGACTAGAAGCACAGAGCCACGGTGTGGGGTTTGAACCCACAGCCTTCTAAACCAGAGGAGGCTGCATCCAAACCAAGCCAGGCCGATGACATGTTCTCAATTGTAACTCTCCAAGTGCAGACCTCAGTAAAATCTGCTAACTCAATCCACATCTATGACCTTCCACATCTACGACTTTACTGTTCTCGAATAGCCTGGTCCAATCCCAACATGAGTTGCCACAGGGACGTGTCAATCACACATTCGGCAATACTCCCACAGAGAAGACTGCTAAACTCTGATGCGCATTGACATGCTCAAATTGGAACACATTGAGGAGAGGAGAGTGAAAATCCAGAAGGGAATGAGAGACGGAGAGAGAAATGGTGAGAGAAAGGGTGAGAAACGAGGAGAGAGAGAACTAGGGGAAAACACCGGAAAAACACCGGAAACGTCTGTCCTGCGAACAACTCCCAGGTGAGGTTTTCTCTCTCTCTCTCGCTCTCTCTCTCGCTCTCAGCGGCTGAGTGGTGAACCTGTTATAACGCGCTTCATTAAAGCGCTGGTGCACTCAGAAGACGAGTGGCCTACGGTTAGCTTCCTGCGCTGTGCCCACAAAATACCCTCTCAGTTCACTTTCTAATACATTCCGTGAAGCGCTTTGAGACATCTCGACGACTTGACCAGCGCAAAGATTACTATTGGTTATTATTATAATATCAACATTTTCCTTCCCGCTGTATAACCTCAGTGTGGCTAAGGAGCTTGAAACGTAGCTCTGCGCCCGACATTACTTTAGATTGCAGATCACAGCTGAAGGTCTTCCCCTTCGACAGTGCCTACAGTCACCTTCCCTTTCTCCCCGGCTCGGCAGCGAGCCCGGACGTACACTGTCAATCGTGCCGAGGTGATACGCAGCGTAAAGGGTGCTATATAAATGCAAGTCGTTGTTCATGTTGTTGAGCTGTTGAGGAGCAATGATGCGAATCCCACCTGCACACTATAAATTCACACGTCTGTTCTTATTCGTGGAGTCCTGTAGCTCAGCGGTTAGAGCTCTCGCCTCGCAAGCGAGAGACCTGGGTTCGATTCCCGGCAGGTCAGGGCGAAACATTTGGGCGAGTTGCCTTACTCCCACGCACACGCCTGATAATAATCCCTCAAGAAAAAAAAACAATAAACAAGATCACTTCAATCCACGACTGTTTGTGGAGACGCTGCTGTGCTCAATTGGCTGCAGTGTCGCACCCACAAATATACAGTCAATTCACTTTACAGTATATATTCTGCGAAGGCGATTTGAGACGTCTCGAAGACGTGATAAGGCGCTGTGTCAAATACGAGGATTATTATTATTATTATTCAGGATTTGCCATGTGTCCAGGAATGTTGCTGGGATTGCCGTTCTCCCTTCTGCTTTGCTTTACGGAGCAAGAGAAGGCCGCAAACAAAATGTGACAAAAGAAAAGGCAAGCATGTCCCAGAAAGAAAAAAAAACCCTCTTATTTTTATAGCGCCCTTATGTCACGGGAAGGTCTCAAAGACCTTCAGAGCAAAACTGTCAAGAATTGCCGTGCAATCGTCAGGCGAGACAAGAAAGTGGTTTATACGCGAACAACCTTAAAAGTGTTAGCCCGCTCGCCCAGGTTACTACAGTACTCACCGTATTCGTTCAAATAGGCCACCATGTTCAGCACGACACGGGGAATCCCATCCTCTGCCGCCTGGCCTTGTTGCTGGAGGTCACGGAGAGACATGCCAAACACCTTCCGGACACTGAAACTTCTCTGCACGTTGAACGGCTGTGCCATAATACTCTTTACATCCTCCTTCAGCCTCACGGCAGCCTTGTTTTGCTGGAAAGAGCACAGGGAAGGGGAGCAATCAACCACGGTCACAACAGGCGGCTCCATAATAATGCACACGGACCTGTTGCAGGAGAGGAGCCCGCAATTACCAGGGATTAGTGGGAAAAGGAGAACGCATCCTCAACCGCCCAGCGTGCCGGGATCACTTGAACGGGTTCTTCATTCATAAAATAAGGAGCCCAGTCTGTAGCCATTAGGAACAGAAAGTAAACACTTACACCTGTCAGTGGCACTGGGTGGAGCTCGTGCTTATTCCCGTATGATCAATCATGTGGCATTTTTGTCTTAACGACCAGTTAAACGAATGAACAGTAAAGCTTGCCGACCTCCATCCTGTGAGTCTGTGTTTAGAGGGCGGGAGATATTTGACATCCGAGATCCACAGTAAGAATCAGTCTACATCTTGCTGATCACAGCCAGACATGTTGCTTTCGTTCCAGGTACACTTCGATTAAAAAAAAATAATAATCCTTGCACTTGATAAGAGCACCTGACCACACTGACAACAATTGCTCAAAGCACTTCACAAAGGTTCTGTAAAGTGGATTTGTTTAAGTGGGTACAGAAGCCGATTCGCATGAAGCAAATGTCCCTTAAACAGCCATGAAGTGAATGCCCAAACCTATCCGGGGAAAGATTCTTTTCAAACTATGCCTTGGGATTTTTAGCTGTAACCTGAAGATGAACATAGAACCTTTTGGTTTAATGTCTGATTCATAGGACAGAACCTCTGACAATACAGCACTCATCAGCACTGTAATGGGAGTGATAGCCCAGACAGTAAACTCAAAACCTTGGTGATTTTACAATGAAAATCTACATTTATAATGATAAAAATCCTTGCATTTGGTACAGCGCAATATAGATATATATTATGCTATATATCAATATATAATTTGATATTTATATATTTGACATATATATACATGATATATATTTCATATATCAGCTCTGCGAGACATCTCAAAGCGCTTAAACAAAATATATTGTAAAGTCAATTGACTGTATATTTTGTGGGTGGAACTTAATCTGAAATTTAGATAGCTTATTCTAATATACACTGACATATCTCAATTTTGGTCAGATCTTTAGACTCAGCTGTACTGAACCCTACGCACAAGCAGCTTCCAATTAACCCACAGGGTTCATTAATTCTCATTACATTTTTAATGTGGGTAAACCACGATCATCCAAACTCACAATGCAAACACATGTTGCTACAACACAGCACACGCCTTGATGTGCTGATATCTTTCTCTGCGTCTCAAAGAAAAGATAAGTTAGACTTTATCTTAACCCTCTCCCACTCAACCGCCCCCCCACACCCCCTCCACCAAAAAAAAAATCAGCAGCTCTACCAAAACTGTAGTTTTATATTTTTCTTTTTTTATACACAACTTCAATCTCTGGATGGAATGAGTCACAGTATCTGCGCTGGGTCACGTATCTTATTCTAAGCTGCTCCATTTCCTCCTTGGCGAATTCCTGGGATAATCACAATAAAAATAATCCTCGATATAAGGATATCAACAAAAAAAAAACATATCAGCTCTCCGTTAAACCAAAGGACATCAGTAATCAATTACTGGAGTGAAGTCTTATTTTTCGCTGCTAAAAGCAACAGGTCAAACAACAACAACAACAACTTGCACTCATATAGCGCCCTCCAGGCAGGGTAGCGTCTCAGAGCGCTTAACAGTGACGGAGCCTGACTCTGAGCTGGGAGGGGGGGGGGGGGAAGGGGGGGGGGGCGCGGAGGTGGCTGTAATCACTGTCGAAAAGGAAGGTTTTCAAACGGGAGTTGAAAAACAGGAGAGATGGGGCAAGGCGGAGGGATTGAGGGGGAGTGTTCCAGAGTTTCGCTGCTCGGTCTGCCTTAGTTGTTCGTCTTACAGGTTTTTGTTTGCCCTCTGCACAGCCTTCTCTCCTCCAAGATTAGCCAGAACGCATTGCAAGCTCTCTGTGAAAAGTGGGTCAGCTGGATTAGAATGCACAGCTGCAGTTTCCTCCCTCCGTATGAGCATTCAACGTGTGGGCCCTGGGAGCGTAGCAGGAGGACAAAGATGTTTTGAAAGAACATCTTGGAACAATTATTCATCGGAGAATGAACGGCATCCACAAGCCATCACCCAGGGAAGCAATTTCACTCAGAGATTCAGAGGACCTCAAAAACCAGGACAGGGAGGCTGGAGACCCATTATTGAACTGACACTTAAAATCTACACTTTATGCCCAAGTGTAGGGGCAGAAACTGCAAGATGTGCAACTAGCGAATCCCGGCTGTGTCCCAGCCGGTCCTCTGAGACCTGGCGAGGACACCGGCTCTCATTAAAGTCAGAACCGGGATCAGCATCTGAGCAGAGAGCCCGAGACAGCTCCATCCAGAATTCGCTGTTCGCTAATCTGTTTGCAAACCTTGCTGTTTCAAGCCCATTTGGGGTTACGGGCTATTTCTGGGGAGGGTGGAGGAACAGGAAACAAGAATTATTACCTTTGTTTATTTTGAGAAACTTGTGTAAAGCACCAAAGCACGTAGTCTAAAACACCAGATACAGTGAGAATAGCAGACGAGAAAAGTAAATCATCAGTTTGGTGATATGAAGTGTAGGCCACAGTAGCATACAGCGAAGTCTCTTCACATAATCTCCAAATATTGGACACACAATCTCCAAATATTATCAGACATTCCTTGGACTGAAGCCAGTGCAGTCAACATATATTCAGAGGCCCATTTTTGGAAAGTTTACGTGTGGAGGTCAGGTGAAGGCAGGATTCGGGGAGGCTTTGATAATAATAATCCTTGCATTTGATACAATGCCTCAATCAAGTTTTCAAAACATCTCAAAGTACTTAGTGTACAGTGACTACGCTGGTAGGCAAATGATTTGGCAGCCAATTTTCACACATCACTCTCCAACAAAACAACCAAGGTGTAAATGAACAATTTTATGTGGAGAAATGTTGGATAGGACAGCAAGAGAAACTCTCCTTTCTGTTCAAATCGTGCCATGGGATACCCGACATCCACCTGAACAAGCAGACAGGATCTTGGCTTTATGTTGCATCTGAAGGATGAAACTTTAGGCAAGTTTCCTTACTCCACACGTCTCTGTTTACCCAACAGGAACCCAGCTGTTAAAGGGATTGGCGGATTGCTTTGCCGGGGCTAATAATCGCTCAAAAAAATATTAATAATTTGGTCATTTAATCCACGACTGTATTTTCTCTGAAGCGATTTGAGACGTCTCAAAGACGTGATGAGGGTCATTATGAAATGCAAGGATTATTATCATTTTTATGATACTTTTATTTCCACTTAAATCTCTTTACCTCGGATTAATTCATGAAACCCTGCGGTGCTTTTCTGTCGCAGTCAAACAACCCAGCGAGTGGGACACCCCTCGATCTATTTCCCAACCTAAATGAGGAGAACTCAAAAGTTCAAAGTTATCTGGTTACGGGGGATTTTCCTGCTGCATTATTCAGGAACAGCAATCAATACAGCATGCGAGGACATTCCAGCAATTCGGCAGCCACTCACTCCAAAGGCCGTCACTGCAACTGATCGACCGCAAAACCCTTCCCAGTCAGACAACAGTGGAGTCTGTCTGGACACGTCATCTCCAAATATAATCAGTGAGTCACATTCCTCGGACTGTGCCAATGGAAACATGAGTGCAACAGGAAAAAGCTTGCCAATTTTCGAGACTGGTAACTCTTTACCTTGCAATCGACACTTCAAGTGAATGTACAGTATGCTGTAACCACATGTACCTTTCAACCAGAGCCTCTTAAAACTTAAGCATGACTCTCGAAACTCCTTGATTTAGAAGCTCCTTGGCGCCATCTCAAAATGATGTCAATAAGGGAGATTCATTCTTACTTTGGACCCTTCTGCCAAGTCCTATCCTTGGACATCTCTTTCTCATTCAGTTAGTTTTGGTCACCAGCGAGTCTGACACACGTGGATAATAATAATAATAATCCTTGCATTTGATATAGCGCTTTTCACGTCGGGAGGACGTCCCAAAGCGCTTCACAGAACACACTGTAAAGTGAATTGACTGTATATTTGTGGGCGAACGACCATCACCGCGGTTAAGAGGATCCAAAACAGAATGTGGGTTCCACGGATGTATGCCACCCACACGTGGAAAAGTTTCTGTGTCTCGTGTGAAACTCTCTTCCCGGAAGACGCACCTGGCTTACCTAATTCTGGAGCGTAATCGGCGCAGGTTGGCAAAGACCCAAGGCTTGGGGACTCCAGAAAGAGCAGCCGGGGTACTGCTGGAGTCTAATCCGCTAAAACCCATATCGCTTGTAGTTGAGAGCAGTGTCTGGCAAGCTTCCCGCTATTTGCCCCAACTGGAGGATCAATAACAACAACAACTTGCATTTACGTCGTGTCCCAGAGCACCTAAAAACATCATCCTACCTCCTAGGTATTTGGCCTCCAGAATTAACAGGAATCAAATGGAGTGTTCCCAATATGCCTCTCCGGGTCCTGCTGCGTCACCCGGCTCAGGAAACAGACGATCGAGACAATCGCAGAGGACTGACTCGATTCCAACATTTAGTTGACAGGCGCGTACGTCATCTTGGAGCCACTACAGCTCCAAAGAGACCCAGCTTACCTCCCCCCAAAAGAGGTCTGGTCACTCGTCGACGGACTTCTGTAGCTCAGTGTTTAGAGCACTCGCCTCGCAAGCGAGAGACCCGGCTGGGCTCGATTCCCGGGCAGGGAGAACCATTGCACAAGTTTCCTTACTCCACACCCCTCTGTTTACCTCGCAGTAAGTAGGCACCCATTTTATTTTTTTTTAGTCGATTGGCGGATCACTTTACCGGGTGTAATAATTCCTCCAAAAAAAAAAAATAATAAATCGGTCACTCAAGCCACGACCGTTTGTGAGCCGCTGCTGTGCGCAGTTGGCTGCCGCCATTCTCCCACAAAATATGCAGGAAATTCCTAAACGCCTCCAAACAGCTGAAGAAACTTTCTTCCCAAAGAAGTACAGAGACAGTGTGGCCCCCGCCGTTACCTGGCTGCGCATTTTTTTTTTTTTTAAAAAAAGGCCTCTCTATATTCAAGTCAGAAAGGAAAGAAAGAACTGACATTTTATCGAGTTGCATCGTGCTGAAATGTCAAGTGACTCGCATTATGAGTCGTGACCATTTCTGTAGCACAGCAACCATTTTGCACGCACAGCCATGAGGTGAATGACCAATTATTTTTCCGGAGGATTGTTGGTCGGAATACCAGAAAAACCTCAAATCACGTTTTCAAATGACGTCTTCCACTTGAAGAGTGTAGGCAGATGGCGAGTTTTAATTTGCATTTCGCCCCGCGGAGTCCTGTAGCTCAGTGGTTAGTTAAGAGCGCTCGCCTCGCGAGAGGGAGACTTGGGTTCGATTCCCGGGAAGGGCGAAATGTTGGGAGAGTTCCCTTACTCCACGCGCCTCTGTTTACCGGTTGTTAGTGGATTGGCGGATCGCTCTTTCGGGGGTTAATAATTCCTTCCAAAACAATAATAATTATAAATTGGTCACTTCAAGCCACGGCTGGTTGCGTGGGACGCTGCTGAGCGCAATGGCCGCCGCGTTTCGCCCGCAAAATGTGCAGTCAATTCACCTTACAGTATGTTCTGAGAAGCGCTTTGAGACGTCTGGAAGACGAGGTGAGAGGCGCTGTGTCAAATGTAAGGATCGGCGGTGAGTCAGTACGCGGTCTGTGTCTCATACTCTGTCTGTGTGAGGCACTGACCACTTCATTGTGACTGCCACCTTTTACTGGACTAAGGCAGAAGTCAGTCCCAGCTGCTGTCTCTCTTTACTGGGTCCGTGTCAACAGAGGTCCTGTGGTGAAACCCCGTGAATTTAGGGGGTTTACGGGGTAAAGCTACAGCAACCAAGTTACAAGCCAGGAAAATGTGACGAGCTTCACTGTTCAATCACTGCTCACTAAGTTGCACAAACACGTACGTGTGTGTGTGTGTGTGTTGGGTGAGTGTGTGTGTGTGTGTGTGTTGGGTGAGTGTGTGTGTCGGGTGAGCGTGTGTGTGTGTGTTGGGTGAGTGTGTGTGTGTGTCGGGTGAGTGTGTGTGTGTGTGTGTGTGTTGGGTGAGTGTGTGTGTGTGTCGGGTGAGTGTCTGTGTGTGTGTTGGGTGAGTGTGCGTGTGTCGGGTGAGTGTGTGTGTGTGTTGGGTGAGTGTGCGTGTGTGTGTGTTGAGTGAGTGTGTGTGTGTCGGGTGAGTGCGTGTGTGTATGTTGGGTGAGTGTGTGTGTGTGGCGGGTGAGTGTGTGTGTGTGTGTGTTGGGTGAGTGTGTGTGTGTGGGGTGAGTGTGTGTGTGTATGTTGGGTGAGTGTGTGTGTGTGTGTCGGGTGAGTGTGTGTGTGTTGGGTGTGTGTGTGTGTGTCGGGTGAGTGTGTGAGTGTATGTTGGGTGAGTGTGTGTGTATGTTGGGTGAGTGTGTGTGTATGTTGGGTGTGTGTGTGTGTGTGTGTCGGGTGAGTGTGTGTGTATGTTGGGTGAGTGTGTGTGTGTGTGTCGGGTGAGTGTGTGTATGTTGGGTGAGTGTGTGTGTGTGTGGGGTGGGGGTGTTCGGGGGGGAGTGGGGGGGAGGGGGGGGCAGTTTGTTTTAGGGCTTTGTCCTTTTTATTGTTTTAAAAAAAAAGAATGTGTTCAATTTGATCTTTTGAAAATTTGATGGCAATCACCTAAAAAGGGCTCAAACCCACCGGCAAAACGTGGTGCTGCCGCAGCTCCGAGGGGCTGTACTCCCTCCAGAGATCTCGTGCAGCTTCTGACACCATAGTGGTGGATGAATGGGGGTGGAGTGAAGGTGGGGGGTGGGGGGGATGGGGGGTGGGGGGGGTTGGGGTGGTGGGGGGGGGCAGGGCAATGTATGTCAAGTCTAAAGAAACGTGAAGGGCACAGCAGTGTGTGGTTTGATTGACTCTACAGTTAGCTTTCCTGGCGACTGGCCGGCCGGCGCCCCGATCCTCAGCGGGGCCTCAATCCCCACAGGCGCGAACGTTATTATTTGCTGTGGTCCAGCCTCCAGAATCCTTATTTTAAAGCGATAACTCACGGAAAGGCAGCGCAGAAGGCTCGCTCGCGGCTCTCGAGACCTTCCTCTTTGACGCTGCCTTCGGTCATCGCTCTGCCCTCCAAGCCCTCTGGACCCCAAACCCCCAGCTCGGGCGCTAAAGCCTTCCCTGTCCAGCGGCTCGGGACGTCCTCCCGACGTTGAAAGGCCGCTATACAAAATGCAATTGGTTGCTGTTGTCGAGGTCGCTCGTGGTGGTGGCTGTTGTCGTCGTTGTCGTCGAGCCAAATTATTTTGGGGGGGGTGGGGGGGGGAGGGGCGGAGGTGGGGGGAGCTGGCTTTGAGCGATCGGATTCCCTGCGCTTCCTCTGCGAGTCAATGAATAGTTTTACTTTCTGTTTGTCCTGATTGATCTGTGTGGGATCCTGGTTCGTTTTTCACCGCTATTCGAAAAACAAAGCTGGTGGGGAATCAAAATGTGAGAGAAAACACACACACCCACAGACACAGACACACAGACACACACACACACACAGACACACAGACACACACACACAGACACACACACACACAACAATACAAAATAACCCCAGGATTGCATGGAAGCAGACATTGGCAACACAAGAAGACTGCGGCATCTATTCGGGAAGCTGTCGTGGTCGGTGTCGTGCGGTGCGGTGCGGTGCGCGGGACAGTCCCCCCACTCGCTGCCCGTTACTCACACAGACGGTGATGGCTCCCGCTCCCATTGTTCAGGAAAGGCATCCGAGAGCAACCGGCTGACGGGGCGGAGGGACGTCTGCCACAAAACCACCCCGCCCGCACCCGGGGCCAGCCTCAACCACCGGCGTCGCCCGCGCCAGCGTGGGCTGACCGGTCACCCGCGGAGACTTCCTCAAACTTCCCTCGAAAACTTTTTTCCCCCCGTCCTCCCGATCCCTCTGCTTGTGCAATGGCTGCAGCCTTTATTCGCAGCCAGACATCTGGGATGCCTGCCCCTACACTGAAATCTGATCTACAGCTCGCTGCTGGCAGCCTGGAGCAATCACATGACCAGCACTTTTTTTTATTATAACACACACGCACACAGGCACACAAAACCGGGAATTTGTCTGCAAGAATCCACGCGGGTGACTGTAACGTTCAGCCCCTCGGGGTATTGAGAAAGCTCCTGAAGAATGCAACGTAGGCTCGTTTACGGACCCCGATGTAGGGCGACCGTGTCTCGGAAACTACATCCGCGGACACCACACGTTAATTAATGCCTCTATTAAAAAAAATTGGGACTCACCACAATTGCTGACGCTGGCGGTACTGGGGGAAAGGAAGCCTGTTGGATAAATGGCTGTGTTTCTCTGATGAGTGCATCTGTTTGAGAACTTTATTGTTCTTGCGCAGTTTGTTGCTGAACTCAACACGGGGCAAATTTGGCCCCGGGGTCACAATATCTCATCCCGGGACTGTATCGGAAATCAGAGACGGGTGGCCCCTACCATCTTGAAATCTCCTGAAGAGTATGTTTATTTGCAGACCCCAAGGGTAACACCATTAACATAACCAGACTGTAATAAGGCAGAAATGCTGCCAGATCCTCGGTGGCCCCCACTGATAACTGAAAATAATAACCATCCTTGTATTGCAAGACCACAGCAGTCTTGTGCCACACGTCTACCCCAGCTCCGCTAGGTAAAGGATTCAAAGGCTCCCGACTCCAGATACAGGAAAATGGGAGCGCCGTTCATATCTGGACGGTATTAGAGAAGCCGATTCGATAACGACTTTTAAGAGAGAAGTAGGTAATTATTTGGGGAGGACAGGTTTGCAGGGCGATAGGGAGAGAGCGGGGGAGTGGGATTGAATTGGATTGCTCTTTTCAAAGAGCCGGAGCAGATATGATGGGCTGAATGGCCTCCTTCTGTGCTGTATGACTCTATGATTCTAAGCATTGCAGGATGTCTCAGAGTACAGCATTATGTAACAAGGGAAACCCAAATGAGGCAAAGAAATAAAATAACAAAGAGAGAGGGAGGTGAAGTGAGACTTACACACACACACACATACACACACTAGAAGTTGTCGTTAAAATACTACGCAATTTAACAATTTGATAAATAGGAAATATTTAATAAATAAAAGGTAATAAAATCACTGCACCTCACCGTAAAATCCCCCCAAGTGGATGGAGACATCCTCCCGCCTCACCGAGCGTGCAAAACGTAATAAAAAATAACAAGTTGGTCGCCGAATCCACGAATGTTTGTGGGGAACCGCTGTACGCACTTGGCTGCCGCGTTTCGTCCGCAAAGTACACACTCAATTCACTTTACAGCGTATTTCTGTGAAGCGCCTTGAGGCGTCTCAACGACCGGATATGACGCCGTATCAAATGCGAGGATTATTATTACTATTACTACGCATCAACATCTTTTAAGTTTCTGTATTTTGTCAATAAGCATTCATCGCACGTCAAGTTGGCGTTGGTTCCACGAGGGGCTACAGCTGTTACTTCAGTGATTAAAAAAAATCACAAAGGTGCCATGAGCAGAAATAACTTGTAGTTCTTGCCCTAATCTGCCCTGTGACCATTGAGTCATAACCTGACGATCAACATTCCTAATCTCCTAACAGTCTCTCCAGCCTGCCTCCACTTACTTACCTCTCAGGGCACAAAAGGATTAACGGCTCCGCAATATCTAAAAATAAATCAAGACTAATAAAGGAACAGTTTGTTCGAAATAAACTGACTGGCGAGAATTAGATGAACCTGATGCAGCGATTTTGCAGGCTCTCAAATAAGCAGAACGTGCTTCCGTTCTGCCCTGCCCGCAATCCTTCTAACCTGCATCCCTTCCCCGACACGCCCCGTTTAGGGCACTCTCCATTCGGGTTGTGAAACTAATTGGATGGCTGTCACCACATTTTGTGCTAATTTGTCGACCCCAACAGCCTACGACCGCCATTGATACCCGAGCAGAACCATCTGCCTCTCCAAAAGAGCAATCCATTCAGTCCCATTTACCTGCCTTCTCCTGCAAATTATTTCTTCCTCTCCCTCATCACGTCCTCTCACGTTTGCACTGAGGGTGCACCGAGGAACAAGGGATTCCAGGGAATCGGTACAGTTAGATCACTATCACACCGGAGGGAATAAATTGTGGACACTGGACTCCGTGGTTTACAGTCACCTGCAGAAAATTCCGCTGACCTTCACTGTCCACACAACTGAATGTCCTAAGACCCCTTTAACACCTTTGGGTTCAAGCATCTGTTTTCGTTATCTGGAAAACCTACGCTGGAATACACTGCGGGTAAGGACACTATCAATAGTAATAATAATAATAATCCTTGCACTTGATGGTTAAAGACCTGCCGAACAGTGGGAACAGAGATGGGGTTTCAGAGACAGAGGCTAATTCACACATACTATGCAGTAGGTTCCTCACAGTAAATTTGCCTCTTTCCCTAGTGAGAAACTCCTCTACACCCCCTCCCTCCCCACCCTACCTCTACCATCTCCTGACCCGCCTCTTGCTTCTTGTCCCCCCACCCCCCTCACGTCCCATCTGCCCCACCATGTCCATTTTTCTCCCGCACTGTGGCGTTCCATTCCTGGAGTCCCACCGACTTGTTCCCTCCCTCCCTCCCTCCCATCTTTCAAGGCACATCAAGACCTTACTCTTTGACCGCGCTTTCTGTCATCTTTTCCCCTCCCCATCCCACCTCTCTCGGCTCCCACCCCGAGCTCAGGTGCTCAGCTGGCAGTGTCGAGAGCTTTGAGATGTCCTTCCAAAACAAACAAAGGCGCTGTGTAAATGTTGTTAAGTTTCTGAAAGGAAAAATTACTGCTTCTGGGGCCCGTGAACCTTTCTCACATCGGGAGCCAAATGGTTGCACCGTCCTGTAGGGTGTAGGTGGTTGAAACCTAAGAGGAGTAGAGGAGCTAAGAGTTCTGGGGATTCAGATCCACAAATCTCTAAAAGTAGCTGCACAGGTAGATAAGGCTATAAAAAGGCCAATGGAGTTTTATCAAGAGAAATAGCATATAAAGTGAGGAGGTGATGGTGAATTTATCTAAAACTTTGGTTAGACCACATTTGGAGTTTTGTGTCCAATTCTGGTCCCCACCCTGTAAACATATAACAGCGATGGAAAGAGTACAGTGTAGGTTTACTTGGATGATACCAGGGCTGGCAGGTTATTGCTATCAGAATAGGCCGGAGAGGTTAGGCCTTTTTTCACTCAAGAAGAGATGTTTAAGGGGGGACCCAATAAGTGTTTAAAATTATAAAAGCATTCGATAAGGTCAGCATAAATAGTCTGTTTCCACCGGTCAGGAAGTTCATAACCAGGGGATACATGTATAAGATAGACACTAGGGGGACCTGAAAGAGAATTTAGGAGGAACTACTTCACTCAGAGGGTAGTGAGAATGTGGAACTCGCTGCCTAAAGCGGAGGTTGAATCATATCGTGTAGATGCATTCCAGAGGAAACTGGACCTTCAATGAGGGAGAGGGGAACAGAATGGCGTCAGAGGGATTAGAGTGTGTGTCGACTTATCTGGGAGTCCAAACACCGGCCCGGGCTGTACATGCTTTGTAAATACAGGGAGCTTGCCATTGGCAGCCCTGACTGCAAGCTTCCTGCTTCTTGTCCAGCCGGGAGCACCCTCCCGCTTAGGGTTTTGGCTGGTAATGTTACGAGTAGCTGAATTAAAACTACAAGCCAAAGCCCTAGAAGGGAGGAAGGTTCCCTACCCCACGTGACCTGTCCGTCCCTCCAAGTCCTGCCAACGAACCACACTGCTGGGCATTCAACAGCAGTGCCTTGGGGGTACTTGCAAAACCCATCCAGCTGAGAATCAGCCATTGCTTCAAGAGTTTAGTTCTCCTTTCCATTTAGGATTGGAGGTAAGCTGCAATCTTATGCACTATCGCACTATCGCACTATGCACAGGAAGTCGCACAGCTAACGTGCTAAAAGACAATTAATTCCAAGTGGCATCATTGCTCCAAATGTCTTATGACTCACCGGATTTTAAATTTGCAAGAGTTACTGAAGGTTCCCTGCACCCATTTAAAATGCTAACACTCACCGATAACAGCTTTTAATCCAAAACAGGCAGTTAAGATTCAGGGATACTACAGGTGAGAAAAACACAGTTATAGTTACAAGAAATATAATACGCAATGCTACATATTAATAATAATAATAATAACATCAGACCTCAGCTCAGTTACACTGACCCATTTGATCTCAAAAGCATGGCGCCCATTGGAAAAGAACTGCTCGGTTTGATTTGTGAGTTTGCTAAGCTGGACTGAAGTTAAAGATCCCAAACAGAAACAGAGAGAGCTGGGAAACCTCAGCGGGTCAGGCAGCATCTACGGAGAAAGGAAAGCGAGTCAACGTTTCGGGTCCACGACCCTTCGTTAGAACTTAAACGTATCGCGACTGACATTACTTTGTGCAAATTGGCTGCTCTGAGCCGCTGAACGACGTGTAGGCACCACGCCTGAACATCCACACTTCAGGGCACACAGGTTCAAGAGGGCGAAATCAAATTGTTTTTCCCCCAAAACCCCCGAGTCTCAGCCTGGCTCAGTTGGTGGCACTCTCACCTCTGAGTTAAGATGGTAGGCTCAAGCCCCACGCCGGGATTTGGAACTCATGTCGGCTGACACTCCAAGGCAGTCCTGGGAAACGTACTTCAAATGACATTAAACCAAACTCCCGTCTCTGCCTGGAGTCAAGGCACAGTACCACCTACCAGGACATTAGGACTTAATGCACTTCCAGTGACACGCAGGTTCATTTTCTCACCCCTACTCCCTGGTTGAGAATGTTTTTTTTTTTGGCGAATGATATTTTTGCACCCACTCTCACAAGCAAATGAATAACTGCTGTTAGATTTTCGACGTGGACCGTACCATGAGCAACGGTCAGCCACGAAACAAGCCCCACGGATTGAGGGAAAGAGAATGTTAAGTCCTGGATGTTTT